ATTGCGTAACTTCGTTTCAGCAACTGTATATGACAACTAATCACCTTAGTTACTACACTAGTTTCATTAACACGCAATTTTCTCGACCGGTTTCGTATTATGTAACTCTACCTAAAACTTACCAATTTTCACCCGTCTAGTTAAAATACGCATAACCAACTGTATTTTTGTTTGACACTTAATGTACACATACATACAAAATAACTCATATATATTTGCGATTGTACAACTAAGAAAATGAATTCGCCGCCGAAAACAGACTCTTCGCTGAACTATGTGTTTTGTTTTCATTAATTCAAATAAGTTCATTTCATACTAAAACCTACGCTGGAAATGCTCCCTAGAAAGATAACGAAAGCTTCGCAGTTAAATTAACCAGCTCAGAGAATTCAGCTAAATCAGAATCATCCATCTGAGCTGCAGATCCTCCCCATTATTTTAAACTCAGACTAAAGAATAAAATATTACTGTTAAACCAATTTAAATTCATATTTTTTTTTCTTCTTAATAACTGTCATGAATAATATTTCTCTTGTTGATAGAACAAAGTTCATGATACTTCACTGTTATTTTTCTACAATCGCTTTTATTCAAATTAATTCTGTATGGATGCTTCATTGTAATGATTACGTAAATGATACCTTTTTTTCGAAAATCTTTACCATACCGTTAAATTAGTGTGTATATACACATCAGGTAATAACAGAAATATTTCCATTTTGAAACCGTTTTTATCATTAGTCGTACTAGATACGCTGACGCAAATTGTTAAATTCATAAAGCCTCACGACTACAAAATATCATACCGAAGTGATTGATGCAATTTATCACACCTCTATGAATGAACAACACATGCATAACAATAGACCTTAGCCAAAAAATGTTTTTACGAGTATTTATATCAGACTATTGAACCAAAAAGGCGCATATATACACATACATACAAGGAGTGAAATGAAATGACATCTGGTATAATGCTTTATGCAGCCAAAGAAGAACTCTACTACAGAAACAACTATTTAACAGCCTGGCTGACATGTTAAAGAGGAGAATATCTAATGGCTTGAAAAGAGTTTTCTGTACTGCTTGCTGTATTACGATTGGTATTCTCAAGCCGTTCATTGTTTCTTCAACAACTCTAAGAATAAACTACCGCTTTTAACCACTCCTATCTGTATCTACCAATTTAACTGCTCTTGTGGAGCGAGATGTCTGTCTGTTTTCGACATAGAACTTTGCACATATGTGAGCCAGTTCAAGTCGCCACACTCCCTCCATGTAGCACACAAAGCAAGAGAAGAAAGTACAAGAAATGCATAATAGAGACAGTAAACAGAGGTGTGAGACAAAGGAATAGTAATAACGAAGAACAATATAGCTTCATTGGAAATCATAAGTCACAAGGGGCGGATGCATCTGAACCAGCCATTGAGAACGATTTTGAGCAAGCCATATCACCAATTGTTTCCAACCATTGGTTTTTACCATCCCGAGGACCCCAACCGGGAAGTCGACACCTTCCTACGTGGCTTAGACTAACTGTTGTAGATTTCATTGACTGGTGCCATGTTTTGGTTTGACCGCCGCTAGCTCTTTTCCAGCCTGACCCTATATCAGCTAAGATTAATCGTCGAGGAAGGCGATGACTAGGCATAAGTAACACATGTCCTCACCATCTCAGTCTATGTAACTTCACAACCCCGTTGATTGATTTCCCATGTGGAGCGAGATAGATATAATGACTTATATATCTCGCTCCTATTTGGCTACGAATAGGTAACAGGGGATCAGTAAGGAGTGCTATAACCGAACATATATCCAACTCTGGTCACTCAATATGTAAACAGAATCTATTCGAAGTCAAAAGAAACCTCCCGGAAACGGTAAGCTTCCGCATACTTTGTATTGCTGAGGCCTAAGAGATTCGGGTGGAAAACCCTGACTTATGTACACAGAAGAAACTTCCTCATCTTCTCTTTTTACCTTGAGTATAATTCCAAGTTTGGCTATTTCGTTACCAAGACTAGTTTTGATTTTTCTTTCGGATGACATTTTACTGACATCTTTTTCTTAAATAACCCTCTATTTATTCTATCTACCTATTGCATAATTTGTTTCACACATTTGTCTCCGTGTTCTTTCATTAACATCCTAGTTTTCAGGTTGTCTTTCATATTACATAACCCTAGACAAAGGTTACTGGTCTTCTCTCACCAACCCCCCATTCTAGTTACAATTCGATTAATCATCACGTTTTTTTTTGAAACATTTTGATGACGTACACAATAACCTCAAATAATTTTATTCTTGTCTGACACGCCTAATGTATACACACATATACACACAAAAATAATTATATATAATTGCGATTGTACAACTACATGAATGAATTCACCGGAAAGACACTCTTAGCTGAACTGTCTGTTCTCAAAGAAATAAATCGATTTATTTGTTAAATAAACCAATGAATCGGATGGTAAGTGTAAGTAAGCCTGAATAAATCAATTTGATTTCACGGTTTCATTATGAGCTGACATCGGTTACAGAACCATTGAAAAACCAGGGAGTACTGGACGGTTGTTTCGTCCTACTTTGGGACTATTCATCAGTAAGCACCTACCACAGGCATTCGGACCCAGGACCTTCCGGTTACAACAATGGCTCTCTGATAGATGTCAGCTCAGGATGAAATCCTGTAACCAATCAAATTAAACCCCTGCAAGCTGACACTTGGAAGCCAGTTTGACTTTCATCAGTCAACACAGGAAGCGTTATGTCAACAACAGAATAGAGACCAAAAATACTTTCTTTTCCATCTCACAGCTTTTCATAAGCTGCTAACAGCTTTAAAAATGACTTAAGTTTTCAATGCAAAAAATATACATAACAATCCAAAACTATTTCAACTCAATGAGTATAGTAGTGGAACAACGGATATGAATATGTGCATCGGTGGAACAGTGGTTAGGACTCTCACCGACCATGCACATGGTCCGGGGTTCGAGCCCTCGCCGACGCACACCTGATATCTATGGTTGGCCTGAAAAATTTGGGCTATCGATATCCACGCTGAAAATTCCATACATGTGCCAAAAATACGATGTGGAATCAAGCTGTAATCAAAAATATAAAATAAATAAAAAAAATATAAATGATATCTTTTCTTCCACAACTACACTGTTTGATTTTCGAAGTATGCTAAGTCATGATCTCTACTTTGACCTGTAAAAATAAGTTCCTTCTCAATTTGTTCAAACGAATTGAAGGAACTGACTTTATTTATTTTATTTTTGATTATAGCTTGATTTCACACACCGTATTTCTGGTCCAATTATGGAATCTTCAGCATGGGATATCGGTAGGACAAGTTTTGCAGGCCGACCAATTGATATCAGGTGTACGTCGGCAGGGGATCGAACCCAGGATTATGTGCATGATCGGCAAGAGTCCTAACCGCTGTGTCACCGACGCACAGATATTCTCTTCACTGATGACAGAATTCATCGACTCTAGCCAGGCATATTTACTAGACTATTAGAAATCTAATAATACTATCAGATTGTGAAGGCTGAAAATTAATCCGGATAACATTTGAGTCCAGATATCAGTTGTTAGAAATTCAAGTTTGTAAAATTTCACATCATGAAGTGTATTTTATTCTACATAACCACAATACATCCAATAGATAAAATTGTACTCAAAGTATTTCAATAAATTATACAATAAACTGTCCAACTGACTGAGTTCAACAGAAATGTATGGGAGAAAGACTAAGTACTATGGAAAGACAGTGGGATTTAATAGATTTGAGAGATCACAAAGAGAGATGAAAGCATCCGCGCCATGAAGAACGATTTCGAACCATATCACTAGGTATCTGCGGCCAACTAGTACTTAGAATCCTGAGAACCAGGCTGAAATCAACAGCCAAAGACTTCAACGACTGCTGGTAGGCTTTAGTTTAACTACCCATAGCCCTTTTCCAAACCAACCAACCTCCCTATGTCTGACAAGATTGCTCGTGGTATGCGCAACACGTGTCCTAGCCATCTTAGTCGGTATCCCTTACCCTCCATTAAGTAGCACTCTACATCTAACATTCACACTACTCATCATATGATATACTCCTTAAAAACAAACTGACGAGGATATCAAAGCAAGAATCGGAAAAACAAGACAAGCTTTCATTACTCTCAAGTCTGTGTGGAGGTCAACAGCGACTCAGCATCAAAAATAAGATCCGGATTTTCAACTCCAATGTGAAGTTAGTCAGTACTACAATACGCATCAGAGACTTGGTGAGTCATAAAGAGCATCTCAAACAAACTACAGACCTTCATTAACAGCTGTCTTCACTTAATACTCAAGATCAGATGGCCAGAAAAGATCAGCAACAGGAAGGGATCTCTGGCAATGAGCGAACCAACCCGGCAGGAACCGATTGTGAAACAAATAAACAAGAAGAAATGGAGATGGATTGGTCATACTCTGAGGAAACCACCAAGTGACATCACATGCCACGCCATCTCTGGAGTGGAAGCCGAAAGGGAAGCGGTGAGTTGGCCGTCCAAGGGTGACTTGGAGGAGGTCATGTGAAGAGGAGATGAGAGCGTGTGGGCAGACTTAGAGCCAGGGGAAAACTCTAGCAGAAAACCAAACGCAATGGAGACGCGCAGGTGAAACCCTATGTTCCTGTAGGAATTAAAGGAAATGACAATAACAACAAACTGTACACTGAGGTGATAAATATCAAGCTTATATTGGATCATTATTCATATTCATCATATAACAAAAATTAATTAGAAATACTAAGTAGGTAAAACAAAGCAGAAAAAATGGAATATATAGGAGAACACAACCTGTACAAGAATACTACTCATCACACAATATGGTAGATAGACAGATAGATAAGATACTATGGTAAATGAAGGAAGGCGGTAGATAGAATACACGATTATATATATATATATATATATATATATATATACATATATATATATATATATATATATATATATATATAATAGACACGCACACACATTAATGAATGGTGATATCATCAAAAATAAAAATAACATCTTGATAAATTACACATTGTTAAAGTACAAAATGTTCTATGTTGTCTAGGTGACAAATAATAAATAATAACAGTAATAAAATATACAAAATATAGCACAGTATACTATAATTATGTAACAATTGGTTTACATTAGCCCCCCTCCACCCAACAAGGTGAAGCTTATACGTGTCTGTGTATAGCAAAACTGAGGCTGGTTTGATTTGTATGCACATAGCAGATGGTGAAATCAAAATTGTACCGCTTTGAAAGAAGAAATCAATTGTCAGAGAAGTACACACACACACACACGTACGTACGTACAGAGAGAGAGAGAGAGAGACAGAGAGAAATGCATCATTTTTAGAGTAAAAAAGAGAAGAGGAACACCCGACTACCCCCACACACACACATTTATAACCTTTCAAATAACTATTTCAAATACAAAGTTCATACTCTTCAAAGTGCGGTGGAGAGAAGAGGAGAGGAGGGGAGAGGTGATAATTACCATCATTGTGTATAGGATAGGACAGAATAAGATGGGATAATAAACAGATTATGTAATCTTTTTCTCAACTTCATTTTTATTCTCATCGTCATCTTCATCGCCTGGCGTAAACTTTTCTGATGGTCTAGCAAAACTGTACTTTTTTGTTAAATGATCATGTAATACAATAGGCGGTGGAGCGCATATCTTTTGACGTATTACTTGTAAGACTGTAACAATACTACCCATTGCTAGTACAAAGTACAACATTGAGACTACAAGTACCTGTAAAAGAGAAGAAAATAACACAATAATACAATTATCCAATCAGTTGAATACGTCTTATAATCATTATTTATACAAACAACTATTGCGGATACATGATTAAAGAAAATAATAACAAGCTCAATGATTAAAGCATCAGGTGATAAACTGTATACCTAAGTAATGCACTGGGGGTATAGCTCAGTAGTAGAGCATTCGACTGCAATATCGACAGGTCCCCGGTTCATACCCGGGTGCCCCTCCAATGCGTCGGTGGCACAGCGGTAGAATGCTCGCCAACTACGCAGGGGGTTCGGAATTCGATCTCCGGCTACCGACGCACTCATATACCTCGCTAAGCCCGTAGTAAGACTGCTAAAGAGGGAAGGTTCGGCGTGAGGCTAGCGACCCCATCCTGTAAAAAATAATCACCACTGCTACAGAAACTTCAAGCCTCTAGCTTGAAGCCGTATGTTCCACCGGGAACGTAAAGGAATAAAAAAGTAATGCATTGAAATAAAAAAGAATCCAGAAGTCTATAATTTGATTAGGCTATAGTAATGACTGAGTGTGTCATTTTAGCTAAGTGATAGAATAATTTTGGCTAACCACACACACGTGGCCCGGGTTCGATTCCCAACTAACGCACTCCTTGGCCTCGCTCAGCTACCTGGTAAAGAGAAAAGGTTGAACGCGTGAGACTAGTAACCCTACTCCTGTAAAAAGTAACAACATCACCACTACTGAAGTCTGAAGTCTCATAGTTTCAAAACCTATGTAAGAAAGCAAAATAAAACTCGTCGGCTCAACTGTTTACCGTATTCAACGGTACATGGATAGATGATGCCTTCATCATTATCCATAGTACTGAGTAAAGTACTGAGGTAAGTGAAATCCTGTGAAGCTTTAATAACGCTCGTCGATAAGCCGTATTCGATACTGAAGTAGTATCATAAGGTAAATTATCCTTTTTAGATATCCATCCAGCTTTCAAGAGGAACAGACAGAACTCTAAAAAGATCCCTTTACTCCAAGCTAAAATAAAACGGACAGTGGGCGAAAGCTTCCACAGTTTTGTTCCAATATGTAAGAAGAGAAATGTCATCACCTCTATTTGCAATGAGAATCTCTATAGCACATGCACCGAAGATGCATTGAGTAAGGCATTGGAATTCTTCAGAAACACTAACCAAAAAAATGGATCGTTACCAGTGAAAACACTGATTGATAAGAAGTAGAGAAATACTTCAAATGAATCATACTCGCTTCTATAGACTGTGAAAAGGAAAACTACTTGTAGAAAAGTGTACTGACACTTCGTTTGTAAAGAAGAAAAATAACTTGAATCACCAAAACTGAAAATGTTTTAGGTGATATAAAGAGTTAGTGTGCGTCGATGGTTCAGCAGTATAATGCTCATCGACAACGTGGACATGGTTCGTGGTTCGATCCCCGGCCGACGCACATCCTTACCTCCCTTATCTGGTTGTAAGCCCGAAGCCCTGTCCCATTTGGAGCGCGAAAAAATACAAAAAAAGTTAGTAATCTTCTCTAGTTCGGAGAGGGTTATAAAACACTGGGCAAGTAGTTCAGAGTTGTTGCGTCTGAGTTCAGTAAAGCCTAGTTTCTGTTCACACTAAGTATTTTACCACTTAATTCACTTGAATTAGTATTTTTAATGACTCTTGTAATACACACTGATCTCTTCCTAAAGTGCTACTACACTTATGTGTGAAATATAAATGCCACTCAACGCCTATTCGCAATTCTGTGCAGTTGGGAGCTAGATACACCCACTGAGTGAGGCCTAATAATACCTACCTGGTTGCCTAAACCTCTCTAGGTGAAGAGGCGTTCAAACTTGTTGATTATTAGTTAGAAGTCAGGCGCTTAGAGCGACGAACTACAGCTCCATACATTAGTGCGTAACAGTCATCAGTTTTAATTTTTCGGTAACTTTAGCAAAGGAAAGGACATATTCCCCCTTAGGTATTAACGTCACTCTCGTTTGCAGCCAACAAAAATGCATTACACTGGGTTCCCTTGATAAAATTTCGATAGAGAAGCAAAGACTAGATTTGCAGTGTAAAATCATGCCATCATTCTATTTCACAAGTTCTCATCAACTAACTGCGGACTACCTGAAGTTACAATGATTATAAGTAATAAACACTTTATACTTCAATGTTTGAAAGGTAATAGAGAAAACATTAAAAGATGAACGCATCCCGAATATAAGTATTACAATTCGCTTTAGTTTAAGTTACCATCAATTTATATACTATCAAACTATGGAAGAAAAAAGGGGGATGAGCGAAGACAGAAAACAGAAAAATCTAATAAACACTGTTAGTTTGTACGACAACATGGCAACTCAAGAGGGTCAAAGTTCATCAATTTGAAAACTTGCTCAGTGAGCTGAGCTCACTAGTGTGTATAACTAATCAGTGTAATGAAAGTGGTACGGTTACTAAAGGAGTGAGAGGTTGACTACACTCTCTTTCTGTGTGCATAAGTTTGGTCTGAAACGTTTGATTACAATTGCTTCATCAAATCGTAGTAGATTCGCTGTCCTTTGTATGTTTAATATTTTGAAGAATTTGAAAATCTCGACAAAATGACCTGTATCCACTTTAGCCTTCTTGAGTTGCCATGTTGACGTACAAGCTAACACTGTTTATTAGATTTTTCCGTTTTCTGTCTTCTGTCACCACCCCAACCCTCTTTTTTCATAGTTTGATGGGCATACACAAATTGATGGTAACTTAAGCTAAAAGTTGTTACACTTATATTCCGGATGTGTACATTTTATAATGTTTTCTCTATTACCTTTCAAACATTGAAGTATAAAATGTTTATTACTTATAACCATTGTAACTTCAGGTAGTTCGCAGTTAGCTGATGAGGACCTGTGAAATAGAATGATGGCATGATTTTATACTGCAAATCTTCCTCTATCGAAAAATGCATTTTCAAAGGGGAGAAAAACAAAATCTTACCTGCCATTCATGACAATAATCTTGTTGAGATATTATATAAAGGTTATATGACATATACAATTCAAAACCATAAACACCAAATAAGAAGGGTAGGATGAATGTTATTCGACGAAACATCCACGACATGAAACCATCTGGAGAAAGAATTTATTTCAAAAATAAAAACGTTATTACGCAATAATTTCGGCAACAAAATACAACACATGAGAGAAAAGTCTTTATTTCCTGGTGCTTGGTTATAGGCTGCAACATACTTTAAAGTTCTCTACTTACACCGATTTAAGTTGGTGACGCGTGAAGCTAACACATCGATATAAGTTAACATACAACAGATTACAATTAAAACATTGAATTTTCAAGAGTTAGTCTTTATAGGGATTTGATTTGTTTTTACCAGTTTGACCACGGATTGATATCACTCAGAAAACCAATGAGAACCAGGGAGTACTGAACAGCTGTTTCACCCTAGTTTGAGACTCACCGGCAGTACGCACCCACCGGGTTTCGAACCCAGGACCTTCTGGTTACAAGACGAGCTCGTAGACCGTTGAGCCACTGGGACCTGATCCAACGGTCCTTGAATTCTAACTTTTACCAATTCATGACATAGCGCAACCAATTCGCAGTGTCTTCTTCGATGAGTTACTGCCTCATCTTCGACCTGCTGTACCCTACTCGTAACGGCTTCCCACTAGAACCCCAGATTAACTGCATAAATAGGGCCAGTCGCTAGTGAGCATCCATACAATCAAACAAAATCCCCACAAAACCAATACCTGAGAATAATTGTTTGCACAATTCCTCCTGAATAATTTTATTACAATATTGCTATTTATTCAGACATTCTAACTACCTTTGTAATTATTAGCCCCTTTTCTCCTAGACTGAATGTAATTCATTGTTCTGACATTTGCATAGCACACCTACCGACTCAATCCTTATTTTTGTTTTTGTCCCTGTTGAACGCCTAATTTTTAATGCGTCTCTTTGTGGTGTGATTGTGTGATGATATTGATAAAGTGTTGTCTTATGGCTGAGATTTTGTTTGAATGAAATCAAGGTCATTCTGACCTTGGATTGTCGTCCACGAGAAGTGCTGGGCGCATGATTCTTGCTGACAGACTGTTGATCCCACCTTGTTAAGGATGTTATTCTTGATTCTTATGTACTTCTTACAGCTGACTTTTATGTGACATGTTATTACATTGTTATTTAATAGTAGCACAGATTTCATCGCAAATAACTGTCGTTTTGCTGTAGTCGGGACACTTTGGGACTGTGAGTCACTCAAGGATGTTTTGGTTAGCTATACACAATAGAACGTGAAGATTGGTTTCCAGTGTTCGCTACAACTGGTCCCTGAAATATTTCTCGTACACAGTGATACTATTATGTGAATAACACAGAAGTTGAGTGTAGAGTATTAGGCTGTATTAGGCTTTCAGCATTCATTTACAACAACACATCTTCTTATACAAGGTAGAATTAAGAAGAATCGCTAATGGTAACCTAAATTGTTTAGTTAACTGGGAGAGATTACTTCAGAAGGTTTGTTTGGTGGTGTTAAACGACACTTTTCTACACGGTAACAACACAACATATATTAAATTTTTCCATCACCTCAAAAACAAAACATATTGTTCCCAATTCGATCTCCGTATCAACGACATTAACTTGAATTACACAATCCTTAGCTAGATTAATACCTACGAAAATCATATCTGGAGAAACATGGCGTTAAATGAAAAAGTCAGACATACAAGTGGTTCTATGAGGCGTCCATAAACTAAGTCTCGAGTCATTAGCACCTCCACAAAGTTATCTATCTCCAAAAGACATACAATGTTATTCTCAAAGCTGAATGAAAGGTTCTGGATATGATACAGACTGTCATTGAATAACCGATGTTACCACTGTTCTTTCGTTTCAAGGGCTCGGTTACATGTCACGCACTGTGTTAGCAGGTTTCTGTTTACTGTTGTTTGAACAAAGTTACTGGAACAGGTTTTTCATGTACCAGGTCACAAGCCACACTACTTATAGTAAGAGGGCTCATGATCCTACTACCACCCAGTTACCCAGGCTGAAGCATATCCTTTTTGCATTTATTCCCCTTAGTGAATTTGAATAAAGCAAGAACAACAATGGCTTGTGCAGAATAATATGGTACCACCATTTATTTCGTTGGCTTTTCATCATCTGCTTACAGCCTAAATAAATTATGAGGTTTACGTACAGGAAAGTTTTAACAAACTTGCAAATTTTACATGTTATCAGTTGACAAAAAGTTCCACAATAAGTGAAGAGTGCTCAAAAAATTGCGCATATCCTTTTTATGGGACTGGATACAAGAAGTAACTAAGCTATATAATTGCGCTGAAGAACAGAGAACAGTCATGTTAGACTAGTATTTCTGAGTGAATCTTGACTGTTTTTCATGAGGATTAAAAGAATACGCAACTCCCGTGTAGACAGAGATTATGTTAGTTACTGAAAAGAATCCGAACTAGTAGCTAATATGCGGTGAATTCTTTGCGTATTGTTACTCACAACAAGCTTGAAGAGGACGAGATGTGTCAAAAAAGTCATGTAAGATACTGCACTTATAGAAGCAAGTACTTAACGACTGAAAACGGTATGCTCATGAGACGCACTGACTCCAGACGTAATCAGATTTGATATAAATGCAAAATCAATCGCTGTTGTTGTTCTTTTTGTACATCATATTTTTCGGTGTCCTACTATGCCAAGTTTATGTTTAAAACGAGAGCCAAAATAAACAGTTGATCCCCTAATTATTTTGGTTACTTTATTTACATTGCTGGTGAGTATTATTATTATTTCCTTGGGTTCCTATTCGAACATATGGCTTCAACAACACATCTCTACTTTGTTCTATTCTCTGACGTTCTCTTTTCAGCTGGATTCACAATTGACCATAATCACTCATCTCCTCCTTGCCAGACGATCTCCTTCATGTCACCATCGGACGACCCACTTATCACTTCCCATTTGAATTCCATTTCTTATGATCTCCTATACTGTCTGTCTGTTTTCGACATAGAACTTTGCACAAATGTGCGGAAGTTCAAGTCGCCACATTCCGTGTAGCACGCGAAGCAAGAGAAGAAAGTACAAGAAAAGCAAATAGAAACAGTGAGCAGAGGTGTGAGACAAAGGAGTAATAAAGAAATACAAAACAGTTTCATTGGAGATCATAAGTCACAGGGAGTGGATGCATCTGCGCCACTGAGAACGATTTTGAGCCATGTCACCAATTGTTTCCAACCATAGATTTTTGCCGTCCCGAGGACCCCAGCCTGGAAGTCTACACCTTCCTACGTGGCTAAGACCAACTGTTGTGGATTTCATTGACTGATGCCAAGTTTTTGTTTGACCGCCGCTAGCTTTTTTCCAGCCTGACCCTATATCCGCTAACATTGCTCGTCGAGGGAGGCGATGGCTTGGCATACGTAACACATGTCCTAACCATCTCAGTCGATGTAGCTTCACGACTTCGTCGATTGATTTCCCCTGTTTACCTAGAACTCTACGCCTAACCTCCATGTTGCTCACCTTATTATGCCACTTTACACGGGAAATAGAACGCAGGCACCTATGATCAAAGACAGCTAGTCTTTTCATGTCTTCCACTCTCAGTGGCCAGGTCTCACAACCATAAAGGAGGACGGAGCGGACTGATGAGCAGTACACCCGCCCTTTGGTCGATAGTCGAACATCTCGTCTACGCCAGAGTCGGCGTAAACTAACAAATGCGAAACGAGCCCCTTGTATTCGTGCTGAGATTTCGTCAGAGATCAGCCCGTTGGGGCTGATGGTACTTCCCAAATAAGTGAAGCGGTCAACGTGCTCTACCACTTCACTTCCTATTTTTAAACTAGGCGTCGGTGTAGTCCAGTCCTGTAACATCATCTTGCATTTGGCGGGAGCGAATCGCATGCCAAACATTCGTAGATTGCTGTTCAAGGTGTTTAGAAGACTCTGCATTTCGTCAGCGTCTTCGCCTAGAAGGACTATATCGTCTGCATATTCCAAGTCAACGAGATTATTCCCAGGTAGCAAGTCAATCCCTGAATCGCTGAAGTCACCTAGGGTTAAGTCCATTAACACATCTATGATGAAGTTGAATAGAAAAGGAGATAATGGGCATCCTTGACGGACACCACTGGTCGTCATCAGTTCAGATGACAGCTCGCCGTAAGCCCTCACCTGGCTGTATGAGTACGAATAGAGTGCCTTAATCAGTGCAATATATTTTCTCGGAATTCCCTTTACAGCCAAGCATCTCCAGAGAACTTCCCGATCGACAGAGTCGAATGCTGCCTTTAGGTCAAGAAATATAATGACTGTTGGACGCCGGTAGGAATGCCTATGTTCTAGAATCTGTCGGAGGGTGAAGATATGATCAATACACCCTCTTCCTGGTCTAAAGCCTGCCTGGCTCTCTCGTGTTTGTGCTTCCCGAGCACCACTCAGTCTACGCATGATTATTGAGCCTAAGACTTTAGATACTATATTAGTCAAGCTAATCCCTCTGTGATTATCACAGGAAGACTTGTCTCCCTTCTTGTATATGGGGATAATCAGTGACTTACACCAACCCGATGGGACTTCTTCTGATTCCCAAACGCTGCCTAGTACCTCAGTTAATCCGGACAGTAAGCTGTCTCCACCGTACTTAAATACCTCTGGAGTCATTCCATCAGGTCCCGCTGCTTTGCCTAGTTTCAGATTGGTGACAGCTTTAGTAACCTCAGTTAGTGACGGAGGACCTGTATCTATATCCCATTCAGGGAGGTGTTGGATGCTCGGAAGGTTGAGCGTGGCTGTGGGCAAATTAAACTGCTCCTCATAATGCTCTTTCCAACGATCCAGTCGTCTATCCTGTGAGCTAATTATAGTGCCATTTTTTTCCGAGATTGTCTCACTAATGATTTGTCTTCTCCCACCCGTTTCCCTGATGAGTCCAAAGAGTTGCCTGGTGTTGCCTATCCTCGAAGCTTTCTCCATCTCTTTGGCTTTTGTCGCCCACCACTGTTCACGGTCCTTGCGGAGACTTTTCGTAAGTTTCCTCTTGTGCAGCTTTCGCTCCTCATTGAATTCGGAGCTCGCCGGAATAAGTCTTCTAGCATCTATCAGTTCGGATGAGGCGGTGGAGATCCAGTGGTTTTTACTCACCTTTGGGTTTACCTTATTCACAGCTTTTACAGCTGTATCTATGGCTGCCTGGATATTTTTCCAAGCTTCTTCAGGGTGAGCACAGCTGTCGAACACAGATATGTGTTTAGCTAGTTCTTCCTCAAATACGGATTTAGTTTCCTGATCGAGCTGGGGACGTGATGGTTTTACCGCCAGCTGTTTCCTACGTCCGTTCAGTCGTAAGCACACACGAGCGCGGACCAGTGCATGGTCGGTATCTACGCACGTGTTCCAGAAGGAGCGACAATCTCCTACCGACCCACGCCAACGATAGCTTATTGCTATGTGGTCTATTTGTGTCCAGCGTTGGTTTGATGAAGGGGGTCTCCAAGTCAAACAGTGTCTCTCCTTGTGTTTGAAGTTAGTGCTTACAAGAAACAAATGATTATCAGAGCAGAACTGTAGGAGACGGTCACCGTTGTCGGTTCGCTGGCACGGAACTCCATAGGTGCCACCGACATCCTTCTCAGATTGACACAATTTCCCTACTTGAGCGTTAAAGTCACCAGCTAGAACGACTATGTCTGAGCGTTTAGCCTTTCTCACCAAACTAGACAGCTTTTGGTAGAACTCATCCTTCGTTTCATCTGAACTGCAGTCAGTGGGGGCGTAGGCGGAGATTACGAAAAGGCATCGGCGAGTAGTGCAGTCCTTCCTCCTTCTTACTGATCCGTTCAGGCGGACAGCACACATTCGGCTATCTACCGGGATCCAGTCAAGCAATGTCTTTTCTGCCCTAGTACTCAAAGCTATCCCTACGCCAGCTAATCCTCGTGAACTAGCTGTGGCATCTCCTGACACCCTCAAGGTGAATTTTGCAGATTCAACCTGTTGGCCAGGTGGGGTTAGGTGAATAACCACACTTGGGTCTTGTATGCGTGTTTCTGAAACACAACATACATCAATGGCTCGTGATGCCAGGGTCTTGGCTAGTGATGCTTGTTGTCCTATTTGGCAAAGTGTCCTAACATTAAGAGCTCCTATATGAAATTGGTGGCGCGGCTTTAAGAGGCTGTCGGTGGTGGTTTTTTGGCTTCCATCGTTTTTAGTGGACGCAGAGTGGAGAGGAAGTGGAGAGCTATCAAGTCGAGGAGTTGCATCAGTGGAAGGAAGGCAAGATGATAGAGATGAAGATGAAGACAAAGATGAGTGAGTAATAGAGAGGTTTCGCGTGCATTTCGGATTGTGAGGGCGATTGTTACTTCCCGGCTGCCCACACCGTGGAAGTTGGTTGCGTGACCGCAGAGCCCAGGGGACAACTGCTTGAGGCCGGTCACACGCGGCCTGTTTTTGTTTGTTCTTTTTGTTTTGTGTGTCTCAGTAGCAGATTTATCACTCCCGCCCTGTGACACGGCAGCAGGAAGCGCGGTCGTTGTTAATCCGGGCCACGGCCGATCCGGCATGAAATTTTGTAATTTTGTATTTATCATGATGTTGGATTGGGTAGCTGCTTTTTGTTTAACCGCTATCCAAACAACCTGCCTGGCATGGTAGAACCTCAAGAGACATAAGTCTCAGCCAGTATAGCTTGATTAGGTCATTGCGGTGTTCAAGCCCGACCACCACGTCAAGGTAGCAGCTTTCGGTCGGGATCTCCTATACCCGTTAAACTGTCACGTTTTCCCATGTTACCACTCTCTTTCTCCCTCAACTTTCTGCTCATTCAATTTCTTTTGAATCACTTCTTTCTCTCCTTTTTTTCTCCCTTTATGCACTATATAGAGTGTGACAACTGGAACTGCTGCACCTCTGTGCAAAGTTCTGTGTTCAAACTTAGTCAGTTAGAAGACAATACTAGAAGAGGGTGGTGTTTGTCAAAATGAATTGGTATAATCTTCATCTTTAATAAAACTAATCGAGATTATCCTAGTGATGAGCAGATTACTGCAGTAAAACAACAAAGGAGCATAGTGTGAACAGATAATTCAAACAAAACAACAACAAAAAACAAAGAAAATCCCACATAAAACAATAGGTAATTTACCAACAGTTATATCCATTGGATGTCGACATCCTAGAGTACGGAGTTTGTAGAGACAACTTATCTGATATTGATATTGTATGAAATGAACAAGATCTAAAAAAAGGAGAACAGACCAGCATACTTTTTTAGAAAAGATGTGAAGTGAACATGGAATCCACTTTATATAACCACACAGTAACTTAAATGATACACTGAATACTCCTCCTTTAAGTAATTACACTATGTGATGAACTGGAGAGTGTCAGAAGATTACCTATACCCTAAGAGTATATGAAAGTCACCTGATGAATATATATGTTACTCTACGAAATGATTTTTTTAGAATTTTTATTCCTTTACGTTCCCAGTGGGACATAGGGCTTCAAGCTAGAGGCTTCAAGTTCCAGTAACAGTGATGTTTATTTTTAAGGGATGGGGTTGCTAGCCTCATACTTAACCTTCCCTCTTTAGCAGTCTTATTACAGGCTTAGCAAGGTAAAGGAGTGCGTTGGTGGCCGGAGATCGAATTCCGAACCACCTGCGTGGTTGGCGAGCACTTTACCACTGTGCCACTGACGCTTAATCTATGAAATGATGTGTTCACTATTTACGATGTACATTAACAGATTTAGAGACTAGATAACCATTTTCAGTACAGGTGTATATGGCTTAGAATGTTATCACCCCCCCCTCTCCAAAAAAAGTCTTATTTCACTGTACCTTCTCAAAACTATTACAACAGTTATCTGAGCATTGTACTACCATAAACACTAGGAGCAACTGTACTAACCGATGGGGTCTCTGAAATCAAAGTCAAGTTTAAGTCACAATAGAAAAGTTGCCATAATTATCTGCTTGCTTCTGTATATCGAAATTTCAGATAGTAGTTTGATTGCCAAAAACTCTAAATTTCTTAGAACATTTTGAATGTACAAAACATGCGCTGTGGAAGATCTCCACTGGTCCTTAAATTAGATGAAGCGCTTACAATCTGGTGAAGAGTAATGAAAGCCTAAGCTTGAATATACATTAAAGTGACCGCCAACTTAAATAAATTTGTGTAAGGTGTTATGAAGCATTTGTTTTCTTTGAACAGTGTGGGTATTAAAGGTTGGAATCCTCCTTTACTTGCCTTTACCTGAACAACTGATTAATATCATCAGTTCTTTGTCCCTCCCCCCCTCAACATACATATATATGTACAGAATAATGCCCTTGATATATGATATTCTATAATTGCAATTGTAGAATATGAAAAGTGTATACTGACTGAGGTATGCATATCGTTGATAGATTTGACTGATCATATGATCCAAGTATGATTTGAATCACATTGATATTCAAAGAAACTGGATCACAATACTCATGATAATAATGATCATAATAATGATAAGCATTCTGTTTACAAGTGCAAATCAAGTATGCAGAATGAGAGATCATATGAAACTAAAAACATGCCAAAAAAATGTGTGTGTGTGGAATTTAATTATACCAACTAACTACCTAGACACTGTAAAATGGATAATTTTTGGATCTAGTGAATTATTTTGCTTAAAAACCTAGTGTTCGTGAACCATCAAATCAATCAAAGATACGGTAAATTATTATTCTTCTGGTATTTCCACTTACAATGAATGATACATGACTGAAGAATTCCTACCTTTACTTGTGTGCATGTGTGCGTGTGTGTGTGTACCAGTCGTGAGTCAAGTCACAATACAGTGACAGTGTGCGAGAGTTTCAATGCGAGAATTAATCTTCCTTCAAAATTTTATTCCTTTGCGTTCCAACTGAAACATAGGGCTTCAAGCTCAAGCTTTGAATTCTCAGTAGCAGTTGTTTCATTTCCATAAGGTGGAGTTGCTATCTGCACACTAAACCTCCCCTCTTACTGAGATTACTGCCAGCTTATCAAGGTAAAGTAGTAAGCCAGTCAGGAATCAGACTCAGGGCTACGTGTAGTGTGGATGATCCAACAACGCACATTACAGAATTATCTTTACAAAAATTCAGAGGTAGCGTTTTGAAGAGTGCGTTGGTGGCATAGCGGTTAGGACGCTCGCCAACCATGCATATGGTTCGAGGTTCGATCCCCGGCCGACGCACTCCTTTACCTCCATAAGCCAGATAAAAAATGGCTGGTAAAGAGGAAAAGGTTGGGCATGAGGCTAGCAACCTATCCTGTAAAAATAAACACTGCTACAGAAACTTCAAGCTTCTAGCTTGAAGCCCTATGTTCCACTGGGACCGTGAAGGAATAAAAAAAGGGTTTTGAAAGTATTTAGTGACAATAAGTTATAAGATAAAATATGCAAAACTTAAACTTACTTAAATACAAGGCAAATAGCATAAACTGGTCACGATATTCATCATATGAATGCGATCTAGGCCTAGAGTAGATAACACAATGAAAGATACCACGAAAATAAAAGCAACCTATTAGCTAGTACATGTGAATAGATTGTAGAAAAAAAACAATTACTAAGTACTCAAGTTCAACTCTCAATTATAACAATACTAAAAATAATTAATTTCACATTAGTTAACACACAAACTACTCGTAATTCACTTGTCAAAAAAAAACGACCCTTGAATTCAACCAAATAATGGAAAAAACCAAAACGTATGAATTATGGAGATCAGAACAGCAGATTAAAACTATTTTGGAGTCTAATCTAACTTAGGAAGGATTTTCCCAACGGGTTGATCGTTGATGTAATCTCAGTACGGACACAGAAGGCTATCTCTGGCATATACGTGATATCCGGCTATCGACCAAAGGGCGAGTGTACTGCTCAATAATCCGCTCTGTCCTCCCTTATGGTTGTGAGACCTGGCCATTGAGAGTGGAAGACATTAAGAGGCTGGCTAGCTGTCTTTGCTCATAGGTGCCTGCGCTCTATCTCCCGTGTTGGGTGGTATAATAGGGTGAGCAATATTGAGGTTAGGCGTCGAGTGCTAAGTAAGGAGGGGAAATCAATCGACGAAGTTGTGAAGCCTCTGCATCGATTGAGATTGTTAGGATGTGTTACGTATGCCTAGCCATTACCTTCATCGACGGGCAATGCTAGCTGACACAGGGTCAGGTTGGAAAAGAGCCAGTGGTGGTCAAAACAAAATATAGCTTCATTAGTCAATGAAATCCACTACAGTTAGTTTAAGCCAGCCACATAGGAAGGTGTTTACTTCCTAGTTAAGGTTTTCGGGACGGTAAAAACCAATGGCTGGAAACAATTGGTGATATGGCTTGCTCAAAATCGTTCTCAGAGATGGCACATATGCATTCACTCCTTGTGACTTATAATTTCCAATGAAACTACATTGTTCTTCGTTACTTTTATTTATTTGTCTCACACCTCTGTTTACTGTCTCTATTATGCATTTCTTCTACCCTCTTCCCTAGCTTCGAGTGCTACATGGACTGTGGAGACTTGAACTTCCGCACATCGGTGCAAAGTTCTATGTCAAAAACAGACACACAGACAGGAAGGATTTTTTAGGTATACATACACGCATTAGTCTCGATATCCTTTTCTTTGATTGGGATGAAACCCTGTAAGTTAAACTCGTAAGGTATTTGTAGGCTGCCCTTTGTGTTTGTAAATTTCACATGAACAGGATTATTTGGGGCAGTGATAACTCGAAATCTTCATCAAAAACTTTACACCTGAAAGGAACCGCGGCTCATTGAGCGAATAAGGTACAATAATCAAAAAAAGCCTCTAGATTAGCTGCTTGAAGTGCCTTTTTCAATAAAGGAAGGTTGCACCCGTACAACTAGGAGCAATATGCTGGCGAATGAATATATTTGTACTACAGTTTTGTTGATTTCTGTAGTCATATCATTGAAATTTTCTGGTGGTTGATCTGTAACTTGGTGATGTATTCTTCTGAGAGTCAGCAAAGGATAAAGACCACAATCAGCTGATTGGCTATGATATCAACAAACTGAAATCCATCAATGAGAGAACGTGTTAGCTGCTTAGTGAGGAAATAGCCGTTAGACTGGTAATCTGATGTAAGCCCCCTACACGTTCTGTGATTGTTAGATCTCGGTTTGGTAGCATCGGGACTAGTCAGGTGATTATGTTTCCTTATCCACCGAGACTCAGACCATCAGACAACAATGATACTGAAGGTCAGTATTACACCTCAACTTGACAGTCTCTTGCTTTTTTTTTCTAATTTCATTCTAACACACATAAAACTGGATACCTGTTGAGATTTAAATCACCAAGTTTATCATTCATTAGCTCATACAAAACGTATTTCAGGTTAATTATTTAAAGCAGAGCTATGTCTAATATATATACAGTGCAACTTCAAGTCAAAATCGATCAAAGGGAAAAATTGTGTGCAAGAAAGATTTTATTAATACTAATACCAGTCACACTACAACTTACCAAATAAGCATAATGCCAGAATTTACTGTTGACATGAAATGAGAAATATTCCACCATCCCTTGATTCGTGATCCATTAGCAATAAGGATACGCTCACGAATAGTTAATGTGCAATAATACCATACCAAGAGAAAATGGAAAAGAGTATCTACAATTCTGAAAACAAAGTACACAAATTAACAATTATATCAAGTAAATTATTATTAGTGCATATGAGGACAGTCAACTTCAAACTAGGAGATGCAATAATGTCACATCTGATTAATGAAATTTTTGTTAAAAACCAATCTAAAGCACAAAATTCATTAGAAGAAAACTAGTTAGGCAATAGACGTCTTAGTGGCTAAGAGGATTAATAAATTTAAGAAGGCAGATGGAAAAAGTTAAGACTAACCCTCCCCCCTATTTTAACTGCTGTTTTTCACTTATGAATATACACTAAGCACTTCCTAACAGTTATTTTAAGCGGGCTTTTAATGTTAGCATGCAGCCATTATGGATGAAGAGGCTGAAGTATTCTGTATTCCCAGATATAATGAAATTTCAATAAGTCCCGAAACATTTTAGACGAAATAATGCAGAAGATTTGTGGCCCAAGTGGATGATTTTGACCTGGTTGCATTCTCTTAGGTAGGTAGGTGACTTAACTGTGAAGCTACGTCTTGGGTATCTACATCAACGACTTTCAGATCAAAAGCCTATGGGGATGTGATTTCCAAAGAGTTCGAGGCAGCCAAAACACTGTCGGTTTCTCATTAACACAGGCAAAAAGATAGGAGTTATGTACTACATATTCCTAAATACTCTCAAGGGGGTTCCCGAAGGATTTCTCTACTACTGCTTACTAGCGTAGGATGACCAATAACTTCAGAGTTAAGGAAGCCAAGATACTTTTTATCATTTAAATAATTAGTACGACAAAATGCAAAAATAAAAAGATGCACTTCACTCAGGGATATGATTATCTAAACACCTATGTTAGGAATGCGGAAATTTCGACAAATCCAAAACTGCATTTTTTCCAATTCTCTTGTAACTTAAAACAACTGGAATTTTAGGAAACCTTCTTTACAAGTTTTAAGAGGTATCTAAAAACTGCACAACTATCGTACAAGCAATAACAGTTCTTCGAAATGTCAGCTATATAACCTGTCTGATGAATGTCGGAATTCCAAAATCCCATTGGGGGATACATAAACATTTTTTGACTGCCTATAATAAACCCCAACGACAATATTTAGATTACATAATGTCGGTGTATGGAGTAGCCAGAAATATAGTGAATAAAGAAATCCAGTTTTTCACGCATTTCTGAAGTCAAAACTATGATGAGATTTCATTCCTCAAACTGTGTACATTGCAAATTATGAATTTGACTAATGTAGGTCTTGACATGAAATCCGATATACCACCTTACACCCCAACGGGACCCATAAGGCTGCTAATAAATTCACTTAATCCCATAAAAGTCACAAAGGTGGCCTTACGTTCACAAGATGAAAAAATATACAAATCCAAAAGTATTAGGAACGGTCAATGGGCGTTCTTTTATTTCAACAATAAAGACGCACCAGCGTTCAAACATTATAAGTAGTGCATTTAAAGTCATTCAGTCGACAATTTCGCGGTGATAATTTCAAATGCTAAATATAGCCCTAAACCACTAGGTAAGTTTCAAATAGCACACTGAATGAGTATCAATTTTATCAACGTTTAAACTGAAACATCAAAAGGTTTATAGACGAAAAACTCACCTGTTTTGGATGAAAAAGTAAAGGATGAATGCAAAGACTGCACAAATTCCTGACAGAATAATTTTAAACTGCTCGTAATCGTTTTTGTATCTAAATCTGGACAAGTTAACAGAAAATATTAATTACTTGTCTTCCTTGTTGGCAAATGATATATTTAAAGCTCCCAGTACAATGCGTAGGTACAAACTATCATATTAACAACGACTAAAGAGAGGACCTACCCAGGTGCCCGAGGTAAAACATCTTCAATGTCTCGTAATAAATATTCTTTTTTCAAGATATCTAATCTAGCCTTCTCAAGAAGAGATATTTCATCACCTTTAGCATTCTTACAGAGACTACAAGACTTAGATTTAAACTAGACTTACTGATTTATTTCATTCTTTAAGTGTTTCATATATGTTCGACAATGCTTAACACTTCGAACACAACCTTCTTCTTCTTCCTTAAGCTTATATGATGAAATAACCAAAGAAGAGTGCTTTTGCTAAGAAAATTATCAAACACAAGGTACTTACTTGTAATTCCAACCAACCATCTTGAAATTGACTAAATGTTTTCTGAAATTCTTCCATAGAAATGACACAGGATATTCAGTTGCACGCCGACCAGCAACTGAGATAGTAGGAAAACTCAAGGTGAAAAACAGAGAGTGACCTAGGTTTCAAAATTCCCTCTCACTTTGGCTGTCGGTCAAATGACTGGAACGTTATGCAACTTTTGATTGGTCAGTTTGTTGACAGACTGTTAAGTGCATAACGGTGACATCTTATATGTTCTCGAGTACATTCTTTATCATATATGCCCAGATGGACAGGAATGAACTTCAGCAAACAGATTATATGCAATATAGTTTCGGTGAGCTTATACAAACATTATGATTTAGTGATGACTACTTGCTGTTTCTGAATGGTTTTAGGTCCTTGGTATATTCCAGCACAATATGTTCAATTGACTGTTATAGCTATGTTCGACTCAATGAGCAGGGAATGTATGATTTGTACCAAGGAAGTGTCACTGATGTGGCTTGAAAACTTCGTTACAACAGGCAGTCTTCTGTTAAGACATCCAATCACAATGGACAATAGGATAATTTGCAGTTAAAGAGGAGATTCGAGAAGTGGAAAGGCGAAACAAATAGAAGGCAGCGATAGGGTATTAAGTGAAAGAAAAATAAGATAGCACAAGTGCATGGACTCAGATGTAAAAGAAAATGCAGAACGAGACTGGAGAGGATAAACGTGGCAATGAAAATTACAATGAAATACTGAGGTATAGAAAGACATCCTTTCGTAAGTGCGACATTCACTTCTCCCGTCCAGCTTCCTAGAAATATCCCGCATCAATGTAGTTGAAGATTGAATGATCAATTCATGGTTGTTTGCTCAAACCCAACTCCTCCGTATTTTTCGCTGGCGTCATCAAGCCAGCAGTCATCGTCTCATCGTTCGCTGTTCAGTGGAAGATAGAAAACTATCAGAAGTATTACTGTGATTTATAGTTATAACATTTATTCTTAGAACTTGTGTGTAATAGCCTTATTGTTGGTTGCATGTTGGCGTAAGAATAAAGCATTCTCGTGCCGCCAGTCTGTGAATTGGTATATCGCGTCGGTAAATATAAAACGTTTTAAAAATTTTCATGGGACAGAGTGAGTTCCATCGTAGTAAGAGCTGGAGATTGACAGTTTCTGATAGTGTCTGTTCGTCTTTCCTCGTGCCGGTCAAGTCCTCTTTGAACAAGCAATATCTGGAACGTTTTTGGAATTGGGTCAAGTTCAACAATACCAGGGTAAAAGAAGGGACAGAGCGTCTTGGATGCAAACAGGAAAGTAAGTCATGGTGACTTGTCTGTTACTTGTAACGATGTGTCTGATGTTAAGCATGACATGGTTGATGTTACTGTTTCGCCGTTCAGGGATAATAGGAATATCAAACTCCCTAGATTTGAACCACGGTGTTTCGATGGAAATCCGGCTGATTATTTACAATTTGTAAAGGAGTTTGAGATCATGCTGAGTAGTTTTCTAATAAGTGATGAATTGGAGTTAATGTATTTGACGAGGTATTGCACTGGAGATGCTGCAAGAGCTATACAGTGCTGTGAGCTCATGCCCCCTAATGAGGGATACGCTGAGGCTATGAGCATATTACGTCAAAGGTTTGGAAGACCTTCAATGATTGTAAGGAACGTATACGAAGCTGTCAAAGGTAACGGCAGTCAACTTCACGATGACTCCAAGGCAATTACTGAGTTTTTAGATAATCTTATGACTTATAAGAACACCTTGATTTCGATGAATTGCATGAATGACCTCAACTCGAGTTTTATACTAGAAGTAATAGCAAGACGCCTACCTACTCGACTGCAAAGGAAGTGGGTGAAGATGAGCCCTCGTATAGAGGATGAGGGTATCGAGCCAAAGTTTGATGATATCCTGAAACTAGTAAAAGATAGTGTCAATCAATCTATGAGCAAGTTTGCCAGTATATTGAATCTCACCCCTAGAATAGAGCAGTCTGAGAGCAAAATGAAATCATTGATGACGAGTAGGCCTCAGAGAGGTGGATATCGGGAAGGCTCCATGATGTCTAGTAATGCATATAGACCTAATGAGTGTAACAGGTTTCGTGGTACATCCTCGACAGATAAGTTACAAGATGCAAGACAAACACGGTTGTGTTTTACACGTTTGCAAGAGGTGCATACAGAAGTGAATTGTGAACCAGTGAGCAAGTTCAGTGATAAGCTCAATGTAAACTCCAGGCCTGACTCCGAATTGTGTGACGATAACTGTGCGGTGAAGAAGTCTGTAGTTACAACTGGTAAGCCATTGTTGAATAGAGTGTCACAGAATAGAGTTACTGCCTCAGAGTGCAGTTCTGACTCCAAAAGTTTACAAAGTATAACTAGTCAGAGTGAAGATATAAAACCTTTAATGATTTGTGAGGAGGAACCAAAATTGTCTACTTCTGTTAACAAAGAGTTTAAAAATGATGAACTTGACGGTGAATTGAATATTTGTGATAATGATCATGATACTTCACAGTTGTCTTTGGTTGATCATGATGAAATCAGGGGAATGCCTACTACTGCTAAGTTAAATAAAGTTTCTGAACAACTTGAACGTGAAGTAGAAATAAATGCAGGTGCAGTTGCAGAAGGCATGCATACTTGTGAGACCGTCAGTGTAAGTGATCAGCATGTAGCCCACCTATCATCAGATGCTAGTGCTAAACCTGAGCTGATAGTAAAAGACAGCAGTGGTGGTGGTCTTGCAGGTAGACAACTTTCTGAAAGTCGAGCAACGGCAGCCTTTGATCCACCGCTAACTTCATCAACTGGTATCGATCAGTCGTCGTTGGTGCTGTCATCCACAATGAAACAGACACCCATCAACTCAAGTATCTTGTGCAATGACTATGCTAGTATCAGTTCGTTTGAAAGGACGAATATCAATGGTCAGTTTAGTGAGGATAAGCCAAGTGTAAACGAGAGAGTAATTGTTAAATTGACTTGCACGAATGAAGGCATTTCTAGTTTCAAGCTACTATTTGAATGCTATCATCTTTGGTGTAAATTACTCTGTGCCTACGCTTGGTTGACCAGATACGTCGTGTGTTTGTTCGTCATCTATGTTCTACGATACAATGACATGAGCGTGTTGCCGTTCAGATTTGAGGATATAGCTGATAGAAGGAAGTTAGCAAATGAACTCTGCGACGATTTTCCAACCAAGGGCGACAACCTGAGAAGGGTTGCAGGCGTACTGCTGTAAGTCCTACAGTTCTTCAAGAGTAGTTTGTCGTGCCAGAATTCACAACATTTGATGTGTTGATTGTACATATGTTTGTGTTAAATAATTGTGTGAGTTCCAATTATTGTAATTGTTGGTTAATCTTGTTTGTGCCCGGACATTCCACAAATTACAATCGTCAACCTATTAAGGATTGTAGGCGTACTGGTGTAAGTCCTGCGATTCTTCAAAGGAATTCCATCAAGATGTGATCCCCGAGTTTTTGTGTACAGTTTGTATATATGTGTCGTGTGTCATATCAATTGGTGTTTTTTGGATTCATTGTGTTTACTTGTTGTTTTCGTATCTTGTTGTTATTGCGTAATTTTGATAAAATTTTCGTCATGATTACTTCTGAAGTTGTTTCGAGTCTTCTACATCCGTGAATGAATCGATTGATGTTAGAGATAGCAGATGGGTCGTATACGCCGGGGAGGCTAGGCTATTGCTGAGAATGAAATGCATACGGAGATAATCGTTAGCTGCGGTCCCACACGCCGGGGAGAAAGAGTGTAAACGACTGAGGCTCGCATACGTCACCACTATTAGAACTGAGGCAGAATGAGTGACAAGCGATCGCAGTGGTAATTTGTGGTGAATAGATAAGAGGATGTGCGTGGAGTATCGTGAGGTGCTGCTATGGTCACGTTGCATTCTGCAAGAGTCATTCTAGCAAGTGGCGATTGTGTTGCAGTAGGATGCCTTTAACTGGAAGGCGCAGGTCGTCATTGATGTGTGAGATTGTGCTGTGAGTATGCTTGTGGTGTGTTGGCTTTTCTGTTTGTTTTCCATTTCAGCTCTGTCCGTGTGACCCAGGTTCTCGCAATGGCATCCAAGTCAACGTGTATTGGTCGTGAAGGAAAAAAGGGTTGGATCCCTTTTTTGCCGGGGAGTGTCAATGGAGTTGAAGATTGAACGATCAATTCACGGTTGTTTGCTCAAAACCAACTTCCCCAATTTTCGCGGAGGAATCAATACGACAGTCATCGTCTCATCGGTCGCTGTTCAGAAAGAAGAGTGACACATCGTCAGAAGTAATACTATGATTTATTATTGTAATATTTGTTCACAGACCTTAGTTCAGTTATTATTTTTATATGTTGGTGTAACAATAAAGAATTCTCGAGTGGCCAATCGGTGTTTTGGTTTTTTCGTCCGTTATTACTAAGCGTTTCTGAAAACTTCAAGGAACAGCGTGGGCCCGAGCGTAGCAAGAGCTGGGCATTACCGGTTTACGAGACGTGGCTGACAGTTTCTGAATGTAGAAACGGATTCTGGCGGATTCAGACAGTTGGTGAAAGTTTGGATAGTCACGGTTCATCTTTCCTGGTGCCGGTCAAGTCCTCTTTGAACAAGCAATATCTGGAACGTTTTTGGAATTGGGTCAAGTTCAACAATGCCAGGGTCAAAGAATGGACAGAGCGTCTTGGATGCAAACAGGAAAGTAAGTCATGGTGACTTGTCTGTTACTTGTAACGATGTGTCTGATGTTAAGCATGACATGGTTGATGTTACTGTTTCGCCGTTCGGGGATAATAGGAATATCAAACTCCCCAAATTTGAACCACGGTGTTTCGATGGAAATCCGGCTGATTATTTACAATTTGTAAAGGAGTTTGAGATCATGCTGAGTAGTTTTCTAATAAGTGATGAATTGAAGTTAATGTATTTGACGAGGTATTGCACTGGAGAAGCTGCAAGAGCTATACAGTGCTGTGTGCTCATGCCCCCTAATGAGGGATACGCTGAGGCTATGAGCATATTACGTCAAAGGTTTGGAAGACCTTCAATGATTGTAAGGAACGTATACGAAGCTGTCAAAGGTAACGGCAGTCAACTTCACGATGACTCCAAGGCAATTACTGAGTTTTTAGATAATCTTATGACTTATAAGAACACCTTGATTTCGATGAATTGCATGAATGACCTCAACTCGAGTTTTATACTAGCGTGGTGAGAGCAGGCTGCTAGCCGATTGGTTGGCACTAATCTACGTTATGGTCTAGGTCACTAATGTGGGACGTGAGAGGATATGAACAAGGCTGAGTCAACAACCAATCACAGCAAAGTTAACGTGGCAAAATATGATTCGCAGATAGAGAACTCTATTTGTCAAGGAATCCCGAAACTACCAATCAGAAGCCTGCGTTTGTCTACCTAAACAACCAATCAGATGACTGCGCTTGTCTATAATAATGTAGTTGAAATATGTATAAATACGTGTTGATTTTCATAATAAAACGATCTGT